GCTCTGTTTTGCATTTTGCTTTTTATGCAACCGAGTCTTGTTGATCAAACATAATTTTGAATTTCTGCACGAGCATAAAGGTGTAGAAACGTAATTTGGAATTCAGTTTTCAAAATATCAGTATGTGTCTACCAGGTCAACCCCTTGTCAATGATGACTCCAAGGTTCGTAGCAGATGTCCCCTTCCCCATCCCATCTCTGATGAGGCACTGCGACGTTTTTTAGTGTATGCGTTTTCGAACTACAGTATATTCAGATAAGAGATAGACCGGACATAAACAAGACCACGTGATGATCGAACGCTGTAACATTCGGCAGGGACGTATTAAGAGTCACGCAGTACATATTTTAGATAGTAGATGCTGCTTTGCGTAACTTTGTAGTAAATTAGCACAATTCGATGTGTATACGATTGGTGATGGATATAGGATCATGTGATGGTGGGGTAAGAAATATATAATGATGTAAATATACATGAGGGTATCAAAATTTTCGCTTCGATTTCCAGCTTCGGATGCCGCCTGATGTTTGGTGAAATACAGTCGAATATAATCTCAAAATGGCGTTTAAATTAGCCTAAATTAAAAATAATCGTATATCTCTTAAAATTACTTTTAGAATATTGATTAGTATATTTTTTGATTTCTAGGTAAATATGTAACCAAATTAAAACGTTCAAAACGTAAAAAAATGTGCATGGTTGAACATTGTCAGAAAGTAGATTCTTGAATAGGTTTTGCCAAAATGGGTTCAAAAATGTCAATAATTAATTAAAAAATACAGTAGCTTTATAATTACTTATAACTTACCGAATTTGATGAACGACATCTTTTATTGGAAAGATGAGCTTGATGATCTTTCATCATCGCTACTGCCTGAAGCACCAACGTCAATAATGAATGGCTCGACTTGTTCCTCTAAAATATTGTCCAGTTCCCACATTCTCTTTTCAACTTTGTCTTTTACGTGCTTAATACAGTTTTCCCATTTTTGCGCTGTTATTAATTCTAGTGCTTCTTTGAAAAGTCCTTTGAGGCCACAAAATTTAAAAGTTGTATTGTGCTTAGCTATATAATTTGTAACCTCTGCCCATATGAGCTCAATGGGATTGAGCTCGCAATGGTATGGAGGTAAACGGAGCATAGTTTTATTTTGACTTGCTGCCATTTCATCAATGGCGTATTTTTGATATTCCGCCTTGTGATCCTTGACAATTCTTAATAATTGTACTTTCAGCATTGCTTCTTCAAAGTTGATATTTTTCGAGCGGAGCCAATTTTGAACATCAACTTTCCTTGAAGCCGTTGTTTGGACCTTCTCCATTCTTCGAGAATGATAAGGCGCATTATCCAACACAATTACTGCGTTTTCCTCTAAGTTCGGTAAAATTTTTGAAAACCACTGTTCAAACGATTCGCCATTCATTTCCTCGTGGTAATCTCCAGTTTTCTTAGACTCAAAGCACCACAGACCGTCAACAACAAATCCATCCTCACTGCCAATATGGCAGATAATGAGCCTTTTCCCTTTACCTGGAAATCGAAGTACTAACTGGTGTAGATTTATTTCAGTAAGCGAACCTTTTTCAAATGTTTTCATCACATTCAGCGAAAAAACATTGAGGCATGAGTATCAGATTGCTATAATTGGGATTATTTAGTCATATTGAAAGAAAGAATATTGAACGTCATATGATTACTCAGCGCTTCACAATTTAATTTAAAGTTATAAACCTTTAAAAAATGAATGATCAGGAACCTGAAATACGCGCAAATATTAATATTAACAAATTATAACTTTATAAAGCTTAAAGTATGAATTAAAATGATTAGAAATATTAGGAACGGTACACAATATAAAACTTAGTAACTTTTTTTAAGTTTATAATATTCGACATATTTTAAGATTATATTAAAAAATTATTGAAATATCGAAAACACATAAAAACATGGCTTAGAAAAGTTCTAACAAATGAAAATGACAATAAAACATCCACGCATTTTATCGAAAGTTATAAAAGTTTTGTTACTTGTAATATGTTTTATCTGCCCCCTGGAATTAATGTTTTAGAAACCTTGTTCCCAAGGTTTGAAAAACATCCGATTGTTGTCTATTACTCGTATTTACCTGCTGGATTTTTTAATCCGGTGGGACATCCATCTAAAGAAAGGCCCTCCTGGATGAGTTACAGATCATCAACCGATACTTTACTTGTAGTGTGTTCCTGCGTTTACCCGCGTTTCATCAAGGGTAGTATCGTCCTGTTTTGGATTTCCTAATTTCCCAATTTTGGTTTAAATAAATCCTCCTCCTAGCACAATTTTCTTCGCTATCCAGGAGTAAACTATTACACCCCCAGTTTTTTTTTTTTTCCATGTGGAAATTTAAATGCTTCGAGTAGAATACTGGGTGCACTCTGGGCGCCCCACCACTTCCACTTTTTTGGCCAAGCCCACCACATCCACCGCGTGCTTCTGATTGGAGGATCACGAACGGCGGGGAATTTTGAAGCGGGGTTGATGTATTGTTGATTGGCGGAACCGCGAGATCCACCGCGTGCTCTGATTGGTGGATCAGACGGCGGGAAGTTTGAACGGGTTGATGGTATATGTTGATTGGCGGGCCCCGTTAGATGGCGCACCCGACCGGAAGTGATTCAGACAGCCGACGATAGTAAGGTGTAGTATAACGTCTATGCGTAAGCGATGTGACTCATTTCATGTTTTGCGGTAAATATTTGCATATAGATCGATAAAAGCCCATGAATAATGATATTTATAGATGCAATTCTGCGGATTCAGTTTAAATGGAAAAACGTATAAAATTCTCGGGAAACAATGCGTATAGGATGATCTCAATAATCAACACGTCATATTCAGTGTGCATATAAAAATGGAATTGCTCATATATGTGGTGCATACAGTTAATGTTAGTTAATTTTTAACATTGATACAATATTGAAAACATAGTACAGTCTATATTGTGTATCTAATAAATTCAACAAGGCAATCACCTACGTCGCAAATGAGGTTAGGTTCAGGGCAGGTGTTGTCGTAGCGGTGATATGCAAGAAGTACCGGGCGGGGCTGTTAAGCATGGGTGAATGGGCAGGAAGCGCAGGCTGTCAACGAGTTAATACTGACCAACGATAACAGCGGTGACCTTGAAACACTGTGGTCAGTTAAAAAGTGGTGGGGATAAAATCGAGATTATAAATACCTATGAATCACCGCAAATTATCTTGTCAGTTATCTGCAGCGAACAGACGTGCTCAGTTCAGATTTAGTCGCTAGTTAACGTTTTAGTTTTTAAAAAATGGAAAAATTCTTCATCGTTAAGGATTCTAGTAAGAAGATTAAAAAATTTAATCTATATGGGCGAGAAGTGGAATTTAAAATACGACCTATCCCTAAAGACGTCGAACCTGTGGGATGGATCAAAGACGCTCTGGAGGAAATAGTAGCCAAAGGAACTGAACATCTCCAGCCCAGTGATCAAGTTGGATTCACTTTCTGTTCCAAAGACTTTACCCGCGGTCAAGGATGGA